AAAAAAAAAAAAAAAAAAAAAAACCTTTCGGTTTTTATCAGCTCATATATTTCTGATTCGTGCTCTGCCAAGCTTCAGGTGATGGGTTTCTATTCCCTTAGGTAGAAAGCAGCCTTATACTTCAAGGCCTGGGTCTGAGTTTCATGTAGGGAGAAGAGGTAACAGAAAAAAAATCGTTTTCAGATTTGTCCATACAAATGACCATGGAACAAATTTTAGCATAATTAAGTCTTTGTATACATTTTTATTTTTTTGAGAGAGGTTTTTGCTATAGGGCGTGTGCACTCGCCAGAAAGACAGAGACAGAGAGATAGAAAGCGAGAAATCACCCCCTAGGGGGGCTGGCCACGCCTCAATCCCTTCTCCTCCATTCTCCTCTCAGGATCTCGGGCACACCCGCACGCACATGCACCCAGCGTGAGTTGAAGCCACCAGGTCCGAAACTCAAACTGCGGTTGACTACATGGCAGTCCAGTGACATAGCCATTACGCCAACTGCTGGTCCTGAGTCTTCATATACATCTTTAAGAGCTGTCTTAGCTGGTTTAAAAGGCATATCGGGTACATGTGTTTGTGTGTCCCGAGTCCCAAAGGATGGAGAAATGGAGAAGAAACTGTGGTGATTTCTGGCAATTAAATATATAAATATGAAGAACGGGGGCCGGCAGGTGGCATGGTGGTTAAGGCGCTGGAATTCCCACATGGCCAACCACAGTTTGAGTCCCGAACCTGGCAGCTTGCTCTCTTTCTCTGACAAAACTCATGTGAAAATAATAATAATAATAATAAATGAATGAATGAATAAAATAATTTAAAAAAAAAAGAAAAAACAACAATAAGGGGCCAGCAAGTGTCATAGTGGTTAAGGCCCTGGACTTCTACATAGCCAACTGCAGTTCGAGTCCTGCACCTGGCAGCCTGAAACATGCAGGGCATGTATGCGTGCCCAAAGTCCCAAGAGAAGAATGGAGAAGGGACTGCAGTACTTTCCCTTTCTCACTTTGTCTACTTCTGTCTGTCTCTCCAGTGAAGATACAGCAAAAAAATCTCTGTAAAAAAACAATAAGATCAATCTCATCATGAGTGACTATACATTTAGAAGACATACGTATGTATTAAAACAACTGTTACTTAGAACAGAGGTTGGCCAACTTTTTCTGTCAAGAGTCAAAAGGAAAATATTTCAGGCTTTGTGGTCCTTAAGATCACGATTCTCTAACGCTGCCATCCAACTCCACAGCAAAAAAGGAGCCACAAACAACACATAAAATAGTGGGTCTGGCTGTGTTCCAATCAAACTTTATTACGAGTACTGGTATTTGAATTTTTAATATTTTTTTTAATGTCCCAAGACACTACTTATTTGTTCTAACCATTAAAATGCACACACTGGTCTGGCCCATGGCCTAGTGGTTAAGGGAGTCTACAACCCAGAACAGGCAGGGGGATCATGAGTTCAAATTCCATCATGAGTTCCATAGTTTTTACATTTAAAAAAAGATTGCCAGACAGCACATGCACTCACCGGAGACAGAGAAAGGTAGGAGGAAGCACCTCCCAATGGAGAGTGGTCAAACCACCATCCCTTCTCCATTTCTCCATCCTGTTGTGATTTTGGTACACATACACATGCTCCCTGGCATGTTTTTCAAGCTGCCTGGCCAGGACTCAAACTTCAGTTGGCCTATGGGATCTGGCTCCCTCACCCACTAGGCAACAGGCCAGCCTCATTTTGACTTGTCTGCCGTCATTAACAAGCACTACGTATGCTCCATTGGTAAGAGCACTTGCTGGGGGTTTGGGATGAGGAGTACAATGGAGGGATTGGGGATCCAGAAACGGGCCAGTATATACTGTTTTGTTCTATTTGAATTTTTTGCAATACATGATCTAATTTAAAAAATAAATCATGGGGGCCAGCAGGGGGCATGGTGGTTAAGGAAGCTGGACTCCCAAATAGCCGACTGAGGTTCAAGTCCCAGACCTAGCGGCTTGCCTTTTCACTTTCCTTCTCTCTCTCTCTTGTTCTGTCTTTCTCTCTGGTCAATTTAAAATAAAGTTAAATAAAGTAATTCTTAAAAAATAAAATAAAAATAAATCATGTATTCAAGATATCTAGCAGGAAATATATGAGTGGCTGATCCATGTAGAGGAGAAAGTGAAGACAATTTATCCCCAGGGCCGGGCTCCCAATAAGTCCCTTAACACATATTTCTGGATAAACAAATGAGCAGCTCACAGCCAAGGTTGATGGATGGCCGATTCCGAGATGTTAGACTCCACGATGCTCATTTCTGTTACTCGGAAACCAGGATGCGTCTCAGTCCCTGCGACCGTTGCCACTGCCAGTTAACACGCAGAAGGGGTCATCGCAGTCCCTGTGGCTGGCTGTGTGCCGCAGGTGCCACACAAACCGGCACTGATCACAACATCCTCTTGATGTGACAGCGACTCCGTATTAAAGGCTCCGTTTACTTGTCCTTCCCAAAGTCATGGAGACAGGGAAGCAAGGACTACCTGTGACACGAGTAAAGAGTCTCTTCGTCACTGTGGAAATGACGGAAATTCTGTATTTTCTTGTCAAGCAGCCACCAGTGTTTCAGAGCTTAAGAAAGAAAAAATACAAATTGATGAAGTGGTTTTGTTTTATTGCAGGGTCACACACTATATGCCAAAAACACAGCGAATAAATAAGAAAATGCAAAATCTCTCAGAAAAGCTGAAGATGTCAAGCCAGGAGATGTTGTGGTGTGTGGCATGCATCATGCGGGAGTATCACTACGGTGTGTGTCCTAATTTCAAAGGGTGGCTGATTTTCTTTACATAGACGACAGTGTCCCTTACATTCTTACAGGCCTTGCGACGTAGCACGGGGTCTGCCTACCAGGTGATGCTCCATCCTTTCCAGGTAGGGATGTCTATTTCACGAGTTACTCAGTAATTCTAAAATTTAAAGTACCAGGACTTGTTCAAGGTTTTTGGGGGGAGAATGAGTGGACAGAGAGGGCTGATTTTTTTTTTTCTAGAACTATTTATTTAATTCCATTCGTTGTTGTTATTTTAATCTGACATGAAAAAGCTAGCTGCCAGGTCTGGAACTTGAACCGTGATCAGCTGTGTGGGAATCCAGCACCCTTAACACACCACCTGTTGCCCCAAGGGCTGATTTTAAATGTCCCAGTTTCAGGACTGGAAGGTGGCTTGGTTAAGATTCCGGATTCCCACGTAGCCTTACTGTGGTTTGAGTCTTTGACCAAACAGGCCTGCTTTCTCACTTTCGTTCTTTCTCTCTCTCTGCTAAGTACCTGTACTCTATAGCAAATAAAATAAAAGAATAAATAAAATTAAATAATTATCTAATAAATAAATGCCCCAGTAGCAAACTGCTTGAACTCAGCAAATAGTGGCCACGGGGACCAGCAGGTAGTGTAATGGTTACATTGCTGAACCCCCCACATGGCCTATCGCAGTTCAAATCCAAGACCTGCATACTGGAAATTCACGGTGGGTTTGTGCACACATGCTAGTGCACCCAAAATCCCAAGAAGAGAATGAAGGAGAAGGGATTTGCAGTGTTGTCATACCCCCTGGGGGGGGTGGATATGATTTCTCACTTTCCTTCTCACTTCTCTATCCCTGGTGAGCACAAGCACCCTAAGGCAAAAAGCTCTATTAAAAAAATAACAACTTGCAGGGGGCCAGCAGGTGGCTTGGAGGTTATGGCAATTGGACCCCACAAGGCCAGCTGTGAGGTTCAAGTCCTGGACCTGGTAGCTTGGAAAACATGCTAGGTCACTTGGACATGTATACTCAAAATTTTTATAAGGATAGACAAGAGGGGATTACAGTGTGACCATCCCTTTTAGAGGGTAATTTCTCAATCTCTCTCTCTCTAGAGAGCATATGCTCTATAGCAAAACATGCCCTATAGCAAAAATCTTTTTAAAAAAATAAAAAATTGAAACTTATATGACTTTTCTAAAAAAATTTAAAAAACAAAACTCACATTACTCAGGGCCAGACAATAGTAAAATGCTGTGCTCCACGAAGTTGACCCATGTGGGAAGGTTCAGGCTGTCACTAGAGATCCCAGGTATGCCCAGTATGCCTGTGGCCGTGACCCAGGGCTGGCTGAGGGGTGGATCACAGCAAGGCCCCGTTGAGGTCACCGTTCACTACCTTTCCTATGGATAGAATAACCTGAAAAAAAGAAAACCTGAAACCAAAATCCTGACACTGATTATTCTTTCAAGTGTCTGAATTCCTTAAGGGTCAAAATTGGAGTAAGTTGGGACCAGCAGTTAGTGTAATGGCTATGTCACTAGACTCCCAAGTAGTCAACCACGGCTCGCTTCCCAGACCCGGTGGCTTAAAACTCACACGCCAGGCACATGTGCGTGCGTGCCCAAGATCCAGAAAGGAGAATGGAGAAGGGATTGCAGTGTGGCCATCCCCCCTGAGGGGTGATTTCTCGCTTTCTGTGTCTCTGGCAAGTGCACGCACCCTATAGCAAAAACCTCTCCAAAAAAAAAAAAAAATTGGAGTAAGTCTACTCTTTCCATTTCATGGCAGTTCGTAAAAGCTGCCACCTAAGAAGGGACATTTCTAAGCAACTGCATGTTGTATCCCCTACCTCTACTTATTGGCATAAATGAAATTTGATCATAAATACATGAAATTCAAAGTGAACAAACACCTGGAATTCTTCCTGTGCTTTATTGTTTTTTAGAGAATTTACATTGAGAGAGTTTGTGTAAAATCCCTTTGAAATAACTGACATACTTGGCAAGCTGCTGGATGCTCTGACACTTTCACTTAGTCCTCACTTGCACTGCCGCAACTGTGAGGTTCTTTTTCTTTTTCATGTTAAGCCTGCAATGGCAGGACCAGCAGATGGCGCAATGGTTACATTGCTGGACTCCCACATAGTCGACTGCAGTTCCAGTCCTGGATCCAGTGGCTTCAAACTCGCGTTGGGCATGCGCATGCCCCAGTGTGGCCATCTCCCTCAGGGCTGATTTCTTGCTGTCTCACTGTCAAGTGCACACACCCTATAATAAAAATTTATTAAAAAAGAAAGGAAACTGCAATGGAAATGGCACTTTCCTAATAGAAGCTGATATATATATATATATATATATGTTTGTTTTTTTTTTTAGAATTTTACTATTTTAGAATTATGTATTTTAATTTGATCAGAGAGGGAGAGAGAGCAAACCAGCTGCCAGGTCCAAGATTTGAGCTGTGGTTGACTGTGTGGGAGTCCATCGCCCTTAACCATCACGCTACCTACTGACCCCTTATTATAATTCTTTAATTTGATCAGTGACAGAGAGGAAAGCAAATCAGCAGTCAGTCGTGAGTCCAGCACCTTAACCACCACACCTGCTGGCCCCTTTAACTGTTATACACTTACAGTAAGGATTCAACAGCTTCATGTAGAACTGCCTGAAAGTTAACCATATTTTTAATAATTTGCACAAGAAACTATTCTGAATTCCAACCAAGTAACTTAATTTTAGGTACCCAGCAAATTGAAAGAGGGAGAACTGCATGCACGCAGGAACCAGTGTTCTGTAGCATCTCATGCAATGCAAACTGAAACAATGACTCAAAATGGAAAGTTGACACTAATATTTACTGTCTCAAATTCTCAGCAAATTAAAGCAGCATTAAAGGCCCTAAAAGGCTAATCAAATGCAAACCTTTCCTGATCTTTTACTGACTCAATAGCAAGTCCCACTACGTATCTCAAGCAAGACCTGTGTGGCTGAACACAATCTCACACTTGTAGAACCATCAATTCCATATCCCATACCAAGTGAGGGTGTGCTTCCTTCAGGTATCTAGTCTTGTATTCCCAGAAATTTCCTTTATTGAGACGTTCACTTCCCGTCTCAACTGCCCAATGACTTCTCAAAAAGGGCAAGCCAACAGTATGTACTAGTCCCATCTCCAGAAATCTAGCAGCCAAGAAACGTTTCAGGGATGAACTCAGCACTCTTAGACACATCACCAGTAAAACTTAGGAATCCTAAAGTGGATCCTGTGATTAGTATACAACAACTCAACTTTTTTTCTACTTTTTTTTTTCATAAGAATTACTTGATTTATTCATCTATTTTAATTTGGCCAGAGAGACACAGAGAGGAAAAGTGAGAAAGCAAGTCACCAGGTTTGGGACTTGAACCATGGTTGGCCATGTGGGAGTGTCCGGCACCTTAACCTTAACCACCACGCCACCTGCTGGTCCCTCTTTTTTTTTTTTTAACTGCTTTCTGAGCACTGAACCAAGGCTGAGTTACAGAGAATAAGAGTGGAGCTAGCCATTTGCTGGCTTTTCAGTATATTCACTATTTTTAAATAGTTTAAAAAAAGAAAAGAAAAGAAAAACCCTGGAAGTTTACAAATAAACCCAAACTCTAGTGCCAAAAGTCTGTTCTAAAACTGCTAGAAGGGAATATTACACTATTTCAGATAGGGAGGTAGCTGGAGAAACATCATACTCTTAGTAGAACTAGTCTATCATTAACCCAAAACTGTACTAGTTACATACCATTTACTAATGAATAAGATTTAGTGGTCACTCAATGGAGATCGAATGTACATGAAAAGCTGAAACTTGAGGCCAGCAGGTGGTGTGGCGGTTAAGGATGCTGGACTCCCACATGGTCGACCGTGGTTCGAGTCCCAGACCTGGTGGCTTGCTTTCTCTCTGTCTCTCCCTGGTCAAATTAAAATAAATAAATAAAGCTAAATAAAATAATTCAAAAAAAAAAAAAAAAAAGCTGAAACTTAGAAGTATGTAACTACGCCTGAGTTCAGACCTACAGATGTTACTTTCTACTAGGGATCTATTGTGCAACCTGAATAAAAAACTCAGCATAGAAAACAATCTTGGGGCCAGCAGGTGGCATAGTGGTTGCAGACACTGGAATCCCACATACTGACAGTGGTTCGAATCCTAGACCTGGTGGCTTGCTTTCTCAATTTCCCTCTCTCACTCTGCCCCTCTCTGATTAAATGAAATAAAGTTGAATAAAATTGTTCTTAAAAAACAAAAACAAACAAACAAAAAAAACCAGTATCTTTTTCTTCACTTTGGGGAGTATTACATTCACCATGTATTTTATCTGAAAGTGGACTTCAGAAAATGATTCTAACATAAATACTGTAGATCTGTGCATGCTAGTGCCAAAGTATACCAATGAAAAATTCAGTTTGGATTTTTTCAGAAATTTCAGGCTTGAGTTGAACCACAACTGTCCATTCAACTCAGATGCATGGTCTCTGCTCAACATCCTATCATCACTAAAAGAGAGCTGTTAGGACCAGCAGTTAGTGTAATG